TGAGCCGCCGCCGCCGCCACCACCACCGCGCAACAGTCCTCTGAGTGCCCTAGACCCCGGCCCCGTCTTGCGCGAGTACTCCTGCCGCCGCCCAGTCCACAGCCGGACCTGGTACACAAGAATAGCCAGCAGACAGCTGCCCTAGCACGCGTGGAGAGACACCGGTGGCCAGCGTACCCTGACCGTGGGGCGGAGACCCGGCAGACCCGAGCAGGGCTGTGCAGACCGCACCCCTGTAGGGACCCAAAACGGGAGGAACAGATCCTGGAGGTAGGAGAGCCCTGTTTTGCAGAGGACACCAGGGATGGGGACCTAAAACGGAGAGCGTAGATCCGGGGAGAGGAGAGCCTAGCTGGGCAGGGGATACTCAGAAAGGGGACTCGAAATGAAGGGGAAGGAGGGGATACGGAGAGTCATGGAGACGGTGGACCGGAAACATGAGAGAAGAAGGGGAGTCTTGAAGGGGAGACCTCAGAACCGGGGAGTTGATCTACAGGAAGAGCGGATGCGGGGCAGAGAGGACTAGAATCATGAGTGCTAGGGACCCGAGCACAGGAGAGTCTGACTTGGGAATGGTGGGGAAGGGGACCATTGGTGTCCAGAGAGAGGGCTACAGCCCTAGAGGAGTGAGTCGCCGCCAGGTGGTGAGAGACGATGAGTCTCCCCCAGAGGCAAAGTGGAACTGGTCTCTGAAGTCTATGGAAGGGAGGTGACACGCTGGTCAGCACGTGGATGGCCAGGCATTTCCCTTGGGAAGAAATGGGAGTTTGCCTGTGACCACACATCTTGACTCATCCACAAAATTAAAACCTGAGCCATAGGGTTAAAGAAAAATAATAATAATAACGCTTTGAAATGAACAGAATTCTAACTGATAGATTGCAGTCTTGTGATGTCTTGTGGAAAGAAACGCTTCAATGCTGTTTCTGGTTTTAAATGAAGCATTGGTCGTATTTGCTTGATAGTCTCCAGTTGTGTCTCTGGAACTCACCGAAGCAGGCATTTTATGAAATATGCAGCTGTCTTTGGCAAAGCCAACTTGTGGCGTGCACTTTCTTGCACATATTTTTAGGAAGTAATGAACTACAATTTGGGCT